GGGAATACTAGTTCACACAAGCCAAAAATGCAACTCACTCACCTCCTCACCCCACAACCCTGACCCTGCCCAGTTCTAACTCACTCAGCCAGGAACTGGGTAACGCCATCGGCACATGCGCGCTCTCTCCCTGCCCTTTCTGTGTCTGTTTCTCTCCTATTTCTCCCTGTCCTCTCTCTCCTCTGTCTGTATCTCTCTCTCTCTCTCTCTCTCTCTCTGTCACACATACATAAGCACGCACACACATACATACACACACTCCAGTCACCTCATCTTGTTGATTAAACTCTTAACTCTCTCCTGAATCCATTCTCTTCTCCCTCTCTCATGGCTACCACCTTGTCCATCCCAGACTGACCTTATCCATCATTAGAAGACCAAGACTCCCTCCCACCCCATACATACCACATTGGCCATCTTGCTCTTCCTCTGGCTCATAGGGCTTCATACACACTGTTCCTCTTAGAAATGCTATTCCCTTTACTCGGCCTAGTTAACTCGTACTCATCCTTCTGGTGTCAGCTGGAATGTCATTTCCTGGCAATGTGGAGTAGGTGGCTTTCCTGAGTGTACAAAGTTTTCACAATTCTTGTCACTCCATGCTAGGTGACTTTCTTGGTTGTCTTTTCCTCTCAAACATGAGCTCACAAGGGTGCAGAGCATGTCAGCCTAGGTCCCCCTCCACCTGTTGTGCTCAGCATGTAACTGATGTTCAAAGCTTATTGTTTAAGTACACCCACCTCTACTACCTGGTGGAGAAAACTTGGACAATCCACATTCCTTCTCAGTATTTCAATGTCCTTGGGATAAACTCATCATACTCTTATAAGACTTCCAACAAATTTGCCACGAGGATAAAGGCCAAGGTAAGATGGAAGGATGATGGAAGGATCCAGACACTCAACACTCGAGAGGTAGGCAAGATTGGTCCCTCTTCTGAGCCATGAAGGCTATGCTGCAGAGAGCATTCCTCTCTGACTCCTCAACCCAGCAGAGATACAGGCTGTACAAGTCATGCACTGCTCAGTAACTGTCTATGTGAATTGTGCTTCTTAGGGTTGTGCAATGCACAATCTAAACTGTACATCATG